TAAAAGTAAGATTAATGTTGGAGATGTCAGGAATTTGGCATTTTAAGAAAGACCAGAAACAAACCGGTGAAGGGGAAGGAAGCTGAAACTTCGTACAAACGGAATCAAATGGTGATATGTATATGGCGTGCATGATGGGGATTAGACCAATCGATCTGGTATGTTGATACTGGTGCGTCGTTCCATATGACACCTCACAAGGAATGGTTTTGTGAGTATGAGACATACAATAGAGGAAACGTTCTGTTAGGAGATGATACTGCTGTAAAGATTATTAGCCGTGGGAAAATCAGGCTGGGTTGCATGATGGTTCAGTGAGGACGCTCCCTGATGATACACATCCCTGGTATGAGTAGAAATCTGCTATCTGTTGGAACAATGGCTGATGCAGGTATAGTATTCAATTGTGACAGAACATCTGTAAGATGACTCGGGGATCTATGGTTATTGCATGAGGAGTTCAACATGGTACACTATATAGGCTGAAGCATCAGTTGTAAGAAATTCCTCTTTGGGTGGTTATGTTTCGGAAAAGGAGGCTGAAAAAAAACTGATTCTGCAACATTGTGGCATCAGCGAATGGGGCATATTGGAAGTCGGCTTTGTCTACTTTGGTGACTCAGAAATGGCTGAAGGATTCCTAACTGGTCCATGAGTTTTGGGTTTGTGAGGAATGTTTACAAGGTAAGTAGAATCGGGTTAGTTTTCAATCGACAGGCACGAGAGCAACAAAAATACTGGAGTTAATTCATAGTGACTTTTTGGGCCCACTCCAGTGGAATCTATTGGTAAATCCAGGTATTATGGATCTTTCATTGATGATTTTTCTAGAAACTGTTGGGTTTATTTCATGCGCAGCAAGTCTGAGGCTTTTGAGAATTTCGGGAATTTAAAGCCTTAGTTGAGAATCAGTTTGATAGGAAGATTAAAGCTTTGCGAACTGATAATGGCGGTGAGTTTTGCTCTAGTAAGTTTGAGCAATTTCGTGCGACACACGGAATGACAAGGCAGAAAACTACACCTTACACGCCTCAACAAAATGGAGTGGCTGAACATCTCAATCGGTCACTGTTAGAGAAGGCTAGATGTATGCTGAATACGACAGATTTGGGTTCTGAATTTGGGCTGAAGCTATAGCGAAGGCTTGTTATTTGAAGAATTGGTCTCCCACTTTTTCTGTTAAAGACATGACGCCATATGAAGCTTTGTATGGTAAGAAACCTAATCTGTCTTTTATTAGAGTTTTTGGTTGTGATGCGTATGTGCATGTGCAAAGGAGAAGAGAAGCAAGCTTGATAGTAAATCTGAGAATTACAAGTTTGTGGGGTTCAAGGATGGCATCAAGGGTACAAGTGTGGAATCCTGTGAGTAGAAGCATATACCCACAGAGACGTAATCTTAGAGAGGTAAAACAACGTGTGGGAACTCCTGAAGATTTGAGCAGTCAAAGAAAATTCAGTTTGATGTGACTAATGTAGAGCAAGAGGAGGAGATGACTCTTAATGTTGCTGCAGAGACTGAAAATTTAGAGTCTACAGAATCTGACCATGAGTAAACTTGATAGTGTGGCTGATGAGGGTTCTATGGATGATTTAGAGGATGATTCTGATGATGAAGTTGTGGTGCCCTCAACTTTGAGGAGATCTACAAGAGTTAGAAAGGCACCAGTTCGTTTCTCTAAGTGCCTTAGTGGATTACACGGTTTGAATGTGATTGGTGATGAACCTAGGAATGTAAATGAAGCAAGAGCCATGGAAGATGCAAATCTATTGGAGGTTGCGATGAATGATGAGGCAGTCACTGGGCAAGAATGTACATGGATCCTATGTAAATTGCCTAAGGTAGAAAGGCAATTGGTTGCAAGTGGGTGTTCAAAAGAAAGTTGTAGCAGATGGAACAATTGCAAAGTATAAGGCGAGACTCGTTGCAAAGGGATTCTCGCAGATTGAGGGTGTTGATTATGGTGAGATTTTCTCTCCCGTAGCCAAGTTAACATAATCAGGTAGTGATTCTATCTATTGCTGCTTCGTTTGATCTTGAAATTGAGCAACTTGAGTAAAGCGGATTCTTACATGGAGATTTAGAGGAGGAATTTATATGAGACAACGAGGGGTTTGTAGTAAAGGGAAGGAAGACTTGTGTGTAGGTTGAGGAAGTCTCTGTATGGGCTTAAACAATCACAAGGATGTGGTACCAAAAGTTTGACTCCTATGTTCTCAGCATGGTTTTAGCTGCAGAACGTGGATCACTGTGTGTATGTAAAAATGTTAGAAAATGTCTTTGTTATTTAACCTTATAGTAGATGATATGTGCTAATAGGGAATAGCAAGGAGTTGATAAATTCGTGAAGGGTCTATGGCTGCACAATTTGACATGAAGGTCTTGGGGTTGCAAATTTATTTTGGGTAGCAAATTACTAGAGACCGTCAGAGTTGTAAATTGTGGTTAGGGTAGAGAAAGTACATCGAGGAGGTGTTGAAGAAATTTAACATGGTAGACTGCAACACTGTGAAGACTCCTATGACTTGGGAGTGAAATTGTCTACTGATCAGTGTCCTAAGTCTGAGAAGATGCCGAAGAAATGACACATGTGCCGTATGCGAGTGCTATAGGTAGGTGATGTATGCCATGGTGTGACAGCGACCAATAGCACAGCAGTGGGAGTTTTGAGTCGCTTTATGTCAAATCCTGGTAAGGAGCATTGGAGTGCTGTAAAGAGGGTCTTGATATCTTCGTGGGACCTCGAATTTATCATTAGTTATGGAGGCATGGCGACTGGGGATGAATAGATGTGATAGGTTTGTGGAACTGATTGGGGAGGGATCTCGAAGTAGGCGTTCCACAAGTGGGTATGATATCTCTTTATTTGGTGCTACTGTTTGTTGGATGAGTAAAAGGCAAAGTACTGTGGCTTTGTCATCGACTGAGGCAGAGTACATGGCATTGACACATGCTGGCAGGAAGCTATGTGGCTTCGAAGATTGAGTTTAGAGCTTGGTTTCAAGCTTGATGCTGTGAAGATTGGATGTGACAATCAAGGGCTATTTACTTAGCCAAAATCCTGCCTTTATTCGCGATCAAAACACATTGACAACAATACCATTTCATCAGGCAAAAGGTGGAGGAAAAAATTGGTGTTGTTAGAGAAGGTTGATACACTTGTACTGCTGCAGATTTTCTTACCAAGGCTGTGAGCTTAGCAAAGTTTACATGGTGTATTGATGAGATAGGCCTGTTGTGTGAAGTTTTCGCCAAGTGGGAGAATGTTGGAGTTGTCGACTACTTCAGCATTAATGGGTAACGGAGATGCACTCGGGGGTTCCGCTGAGTGGGCGGGTGCCCTGCTCCGGTGAGCGGGTGGGGGTCGCGGGGGTAGCGCCCCGAGCCCTAGGCGGTTTTGCGCTTTTCCATGTATACGCTGTAGGATTTCTTTTAAGTTACTAATCCTTTTTGGGTTGGGCTTAGGAATAAGAATCTTGTAAAACTAGGTTTAATCTCTTAAACCTAGTATATAATATACTTTTCTCTGTTATGGAGGTTAGAACATTCATTCATTGTAAACGAAAGAGGTGAGACATATTGCAATAATTTGAACTCAACTGGACATAGCCCACATTGGGTGAACCAGGGTAAATCGCGCATATTATTTTTTTTTCTGTTGTTGTTTTGTTTTACTGTTATATTTTGTTCCTGTTATTGTCTCTATTTCGTTCAATGAGTTCTATTTAATATGAGATGTCTTCTGTCAATGTTACTATACGATTGTCTTTTTTTTTTTTTTTTCTTCAACATATTGTTCATGCATTATGAGTTCTATTTTTTAGTTTGAAGATCAAAACAGAGACGAGTATAAATTTTTATGATTTTAACACTGCACAAAAGCGAAATATTGACGCAGTTAAAGTTCAGTTCGATAATCCTGTGTTCAGTAATTCTTCATCAAGCCCACTCAATGTTGCAACAATCGAGAAACATGAAAATATTTTCCATGTAGCACCAGATGACCTCAAGTTGCGAAACATAAAAGCGAACACTGCCTTCTGTTTTGCTGTCATGGCTGGGAGTAAATCAATTTCTGTGAAAATGTTGAAAAAGAACCGAGACCTGTTGACAATCCGAGGTGGCTGTAACTTGACTCCACTAAATCTAGCTGCTATGTATAGAGAAAGGGAAATGACGTCATATTTATACCCGCAGTATGGTAGAGGAACACAGACATTAGCCGACAAAAAAGCAATTTTTTCATAGCATCAGTACTAGTTTGTACGGTAAGTATTCACTTATTTCTATATCTATTATATAGCATGCATAACATGATAAATTCACCATACATTAATATCTGTTTGAATAAAATAAGTAAATGCACAAGATACATATAATGATGGTCGTAATTTGGTTAACTTCTGAATTTTTGGGTAAATGAATCAAAGCAATTTCTATTCTTTTTTCATATCTACTTCTAAATTGATGTATTATTTTGAAGATATTGTATCATTTTGAAAATGTAATTCATAATAGCCCTTCAATATACTTGTAATATATGCTGCCCTTGCTTTCTAAATTGTGGGCTTGTATTGTATACATGTGAATGATGAATTTCTAAATATGTGCTACATGTCTCATTGAAAGGAAAAGTTGCAGTAATTCAATTTTGTCGGAGTGAAAGAAAGATAAGAAGGCCCTGATATCGCTCTCCCTTTCTTCACTTTAAAATATCTCTATATGAAACTATACAGATAGATATAGGCGTGCGAAATTAAATATTGGCTGTGAAAGAAGAAATTTATTGAAATTTATGCAATGCGTTTAGAACTTACAAGGATTTGCTTTAGAATATGAAAAATAATTAGAATTCAATGGAGAGACACTTCAACTAACAAATGAATATTATATCATCGTATGGGTATTCGTAGCATGCCTCATAGTCATAACCAAAATAAATCGGTCCCGTTTATTCAGAAAGAAGTGGGAATTCAAATCATGAATCAACCGAAGTTCCAATGGATTTTAATAGGCAGCAGCAAAATCTGGAAGGAAGTGAAGCTAGGTCATCATCAGAAAAAAATATTCAGTGGTTACCTTCCCTCCATTTGTTGACTGGTTAGCTCTCTCAAAACAAGAAACAGTGACACATATTTTAATTTTATATGTAATATTCATCCAAATTATTTTTTGATTTTGATGATCGGAACCAAGATAAGGACAAATTACGTTTGGATCTTCTTAAAGCTGCACAAACGGGAAATATCTATGCAGTTCAAAGTCAGTTCGATAATCCTCTGTTCAGTAATTCTTCATCACGCTCATTCAATATTGCAATAACGGAGAAACATGAAACTATTTTCCATGTAGCACCAGGAGCAAATCAAACTGACTTTGTAGAGAAGATGATTGATAAGAAAGTAGAAGATGCCCTGAAGTTGCAAAACATGAAAGGGAACACTGCCTTCTGTTTTGCTGCTATGGCTGGGAATAAATCAATTGCTGAGAAAATGTTGAGAAGGAACCAAGACCTGTTGACAATCCGAGGTGGCGGTAATTTGACTCCACTAAATCTGGCTGCTATGTTTGGAGAAAGGGAAATGGCGTTATATTTATACCGGCAGTATGATGGAGGGACACTGACATTAGCCGACAAAAAACAATTATTTTTTGATAGCATCGACACTACTTTGTACGGCAAGTGTTCACGTATACTTATGATTTATACTGCCCTTGCTTTCTAAATTGTGGGCTGCATATGCTAAAAATATTTGGATGAATTTCCTAGATCTTGCAAAGAAATTGCTAGAAGATGAAGATGATAACGAAAATGAATTGGCTATGACTCAATACGAGCGTGGCAACGATCTTTTGACACCCTTGCATCTGTTGGCTTTAACGCCCTTTCATCTGTTGGACCAAAATAGTAGAGGTAAAGAAACAGCCTTTTCAAATAGAGCTCTAGAGTCTGTCAAACGTCTTTGGGAGAAAATATTAGAGATAAGAGGCTAAAAGAGCAAAAGTGACAAAACAACTTCATTAAATCAAGCTCTAGCATTGGTCGAATGCATTTGGGAGCAAATAGTCAAAGCAAAGCGCGACCATGTTTGGGATTACTTAAAAGATCATCATGATTTATTGTTCAAAGCAGCTCAATTGGGGAATTTTAAATTCTTGGGTAAACTCATCGAACTTTATCCTGATTTGATTCATCTTAAAGATGATGATGAATGGACCATATTTCACATTGCAATTATGCATCGTCATGATGATTTGTTTAAGTTAATAGATCAAATAGGTTTCAACAAACAGTTGGTAGCATGTGATGTAGACATTAATGAAAATAGTTTACTACATCTACCTGCAAAATATCCAGATCAAAGACCATTGAGCACGATGTCAGGTGCAATGATAGGGTTTGGGATAGAATCTGTTTATATGAGGAACAGAGACCTCCAAGAACAAGAGATAGAAAGACTAGTTGACAAAATTCTTTATTGATTGCCACTATCTAGATTTAGGCTATTATATAGCCTTACACTTGACTCTATTGACTCCCAAAAGGACTCCAATTGTAAAAGGATAATAAGTCCCAAAAGGATTTTAATTATAAAGGGATAATAAGATAACCCTAAGTCTATCATAACAAGATAATAATAAAATTATAAAAGATAATAATAAAATACTTAACACACTTATCCTAATTCTAAAATAATCCTAACATGCAACAAGAGTTGCTCATTTTTAAGGTAAATAATTATAGAGCTTCTTTAGTGTCTTATTATTTAATTATCATTATTTTATACCTTTACTTGGAGAAAATACCAATTATTGGTGATTCTCGATTAAAGTTTCAGTTAATATATATATATTATGATTATAATTTGACTTTTTTTAATAAAATTAATACTAAAGATAGAGTTGAATTCTAATAGTAAGAATTTAAAACTAAAAAATGAAGCTACCAACTTCTTTGTGTAAAATTAATGATGTAGGATGTTGAAAAGCTTGTAATGCCTGCATTTAGCGAATTGAAGAATTCAGAAAGCAAAACACCTCGAGAGCTCTTCACTAGTACACATGCAGGCTTACTTAAAGACGGAGAAAAGTGGATGGGGAGCATAGCAAGTCAATGCATGCTTGTTGCAACAATCATTGCTACTGTGGTTTTTGAAGCGGCTTTCACTGTACCAGGAGGTAACGAGGATAATGAAGGAAGGAATATTGTGCTCCATATTTTTGCTATGGCACACGTGATTGCATTATCTTCATCTTCTATTTCAATTCTAATGTTCTTGTCTATTCTTACATCCGGTTAAGTAGAAAATGATTTTTTGATATCATTGCCGCTTAAGTTGGTGGTGGGAGTGTTAACGCTATTCATATCCATAGGAAACATGATGCTAGCTTTCATTTCAAGCTTTTATACAGCTTATGATCACCCTAGATCAAATACAGTCCTCATTCTTTGTACTATATTTGTAACTCTACCCCTGTTTGCATTTGATTCGTCAAGTCTTCTAAGAGATATGTTGTATTCATTCTGTTTTAGGTTTTTCCCTTAAGTCTATATGACGTTGTATTATGTATTTACTATTAGAGAAGAAGTAGTCAAGAATCTTTCTATTGAATTTGTATTTGATTTTTGAATTTATGATCTCATATCTATTACACTTGTATATATATACCTGTGATGTTGAATAAAAATGAAAACAGCAATACTCTTTCTCCTCTGCTCACTTTAGCTTATCTTATATTGTATCCGAGTATTCTGGTCCAGTTCCTGCACTGATTATTTCCAGTTTTCAGCCATTTTCTTGTTGCCCAGTTCTGCCTGATTGTTTCCAGTTTTCAGCTACTCTTTAGGTCCAGTTCCTGCACTGATCGTTTCCAGTTTCCAGCCATTTTCTCGCTGCCCAGTTCTGCCTAATCACTTCCAGTTTTCAGCCACTCTTTAGGTCCAACTCCCGCACTAATTATTTCCAGTCTTCAACCACTCTTTTCACCATCACATGTAATAGTATCCCGTCACTCCTCAAAACAATCGAACCAAAGCCATTTGCTCTAGGTTCTGGCAGTAGCACCTTTTGTCTACTTCTTGCAATTTTTGCACAAACGAGGCAGTTCCTAAATCGCCGAGGTTCCCATATCAAAGCGAAAACAGCCAGCTTCACTGATGTTCCTATGCAGCAGCTCATTTCCTACAGAAACGAGCCAGTTCCTGAATCACCGAGGTTCCCATACTAAAGCTAAAACAGCAAGTTTCATTGAAGTTCCTGATGAAATGTGATGCTTAATTAATTCCAATTTAATGTTAGTGGAGTCATGGAGTCAATTTCCTATTTTTATGTTAGTGGAGTCATGGAATCTGTTGATGCTAGATTTTGACACCAACTAAACACACGTGTGAAACGTTGAGCTGACCTAGAAGACACGTGAATGGGAGAATGAGAATAATAAAGAGATGGAGAATGATGTTTAAAGTGGTTCGGATGCTTAAGCAAGCGATTCCTACATCCACTAGTNTTGATCTCCAATAGGAACAAACTCTGAGGGTGCTTCCAATCAGCATCAGAATTTCCCCGATCTTCTGAATTGTGCTTTTTTCCAGATCCAGAAACCCATCTTTGCTTTGTTTTGCGCCAACTACATGTTTTGGCCTAAAACATAAAATATGCAGAATTAAGTAACAATTCAGGCACAAAATCATAAGAAGTATAAACAATCCAACAAAAATCATATAAGAAAAAGTATAATCCTAGGATTATCAGTAAACAAGCCGAGAGCTCCCATAAAGCTTTATCTTATCTCAATACCTTTAGTGTTACTGCATATAAATCTAATGGAACCTAGGCAAACTGAGAGCTTAGGAGTTAAGAGATATGTGTTTGCTTGTGTTGATGATTTCTCTATATTTGCTTGGGTTGATTTTTTAAAAGAGAAATCTAGTTACTTTGATGCCGTTCAGAAACTGGTCAAAAGATTACAAGTTAAGAAGAGTAACATGGATAAAAAGATTGTGAGAATTAGGAGCGATCATGGGAGGTATTTGAGAACACAGACTTTGCCAATTTTTGTCATATGTAGGGTATATCCCATAAATTTTCTACACCAAAGACATCCCAACAAAATGGTATGGTGGAAAGGAAAAATAGAGTTCTTCAAGAAATGGCTAGGGTGATGCTTAATGCCAAAACAAATCCCAAGAGATTTTGGGCTGAAGCCATAAATACAACTTGTCACATTTCCAACAAAGTATTTCTTAAAAAGGTACTCATCAAACTCCTTATGAGTTATGGAAAGGTAAGAAACTTGCTCTCTCTTATTTCCATGTTTTCAGGTGCAAATGCTATGTGTTAAATGATAGAGAGAATTTGGGAAAGTTTGATGCCAGGAGCTTGAGGGGGTTTTTATTAGATATTCCTCAAATATTAGAGCTTTTAGGATCTATAANGTATCAACTGTCTTCATGGATAATACCAACTTATAGTGTTGAGTCCAATTTTTATATCTAATATTAGTCTAAGATGATGTAAGAACAAATGGTGTAGATTTAATAGTAGACAAAACTTGGTTTAAAAGGTAGACGTATTTAATGATATTTCTTAAATTCTCTCTCCTAAAACAACTATCAACAGAATGTCATGTTTCAAATTTAAAGTCAGATGATAAAATAAGATGGTATGTTATAAGGATTCATGCACAATTAGATGCGGAAATGCATGGGAAAAATTTAGAATTCGATGAATGAATATATAGATTGTATTTGTATTTATAGCATGTCTTATAACGAAAAATAAATCTTATTTGTTCAGGAGACATGGAGCCGACAAATGGAAGTTCAATTCCTGAAATACAAATGCGAGTTATTGATGTGCTGCCGCAAGATATGAACCAAAGAGAAGCTAGGCCATCGTCTTCACGGCCAAATACAAGCCATATTGTGCCTCCTGGTCAGCTTTCTCTCTCTCTCTCTCTCTCACACACAGATGTTATATATAGAATTTTTATCACCAAGATTTTAAATTTGATATACAGTTGTACAAAATTTCTCTCACCTTATCTCTTTCACTTTCTCTCTCCTCGTCTCTTTCACGTTCTCTCTCCCATGAATTTTGTATGGTAACTAATTTTAATATGAGCGAATCTCAGCCATCCAAAAAATCTAACACCTCAAATTACTGTCCTGATTAAGAAACCCTCACTCTGTTAATAACCGTTTTATTGAAATGACCTTATTACCCTTTCACCAAAATATAATAAGCTGGCCTAAAATATTTAAATTTACATATATGGAATAAAACTTATAAAATTTTCCTTAATTTATAAAAATATTGTTTTTACCCCCATCAAAATTTTCAAATTCACCCTAAAATTTCCTCTTTCTTTTGTTATCATTTTATTCCCATCCAAAACAAAATCTTCCTCACCAAAATATATTCCTTTCAATTTTGTTTCCACAACCACACCTCAACTACTTACCAAATCAAGAAAAATTATAATTCAAACTCTCCAAAAATTTAACACAAAACTTATAATTTATAAAATCTATTGAGCTCTTAACTGAAAAAATAAATATGCAAAATATATATAAAAAAAAAAAAGTTTGTGGTAGTGTAGTGGTGAACAGATCGGGCGACCATGATCTGGCCACCGCTTCACTGGATCGTACCGGCATGATCTAGGCAAGGAGCGGCCAAATAGCGGCAAGATGTGGTCTTGCTCAGATTGGATCTTGGAGGAGTGAGGGATTGAGAAGGAGAAGGAGGAGAAAAAGAAAGGAGAAGAAAGAAGAAAAGAGAACAAAAGAAAGGAGAACGACAAGAGAGGTGGGCAAGGAGAAAAAAGGAAAGAGAAGAAAAAGAAACGAAAAGAGGGGCGGCAGAGAAGAAAAAGAAAAGGAACAAAAAAAAGAAGAAGAGAGAAAAATAAACAAGAAAGAAGAAAGACGTTAGAGAAAAAAAAAAAAAATGAGAAGGGGAGGATTAGGGTTACTTAAACACACACACACACACATATATATATATATATATATATATAAATTTTAAGATGTCTCCAGTTTAAAATGTTTTCATTTCCGTATCTTTTTGTATTTGGTCATCAACTCATCAATGAATGAATTAACTTTATAAAATTAAGTTGATAAGAATACTTGAAATTTTGTCTTTTAAGAATTTATTTGTTTGTAAATTCATTTTTTAGTATTCAACATGTTTGTCTACAAATAGTATTATGAAAATGAGAAAATGAAAAGGTGTGAGTTTGAAATATAAATTAAGGAGTGAGTTTGGAATATAAACAGACACTCATAAGGTTTGCTTTAGTTTACGTTTATAAGGATTCGCACTGTTTAGAATATAAAAATGCATGGTACAAATAATTAGAATTCAAGGGAAAGGCACTTCAGCTAACCAATGAATATTATATCATCATATGTGTATTCGTAGCATATCTTATGACAAAAATAAATCGATCCTGTTTATTTAGGAGAAATGGACCTTGGAAGTGGGAATTCGAATCATGAATCAACAGAAGTTCCAATTATTCAGTGGTTACCTTCCCTTCATTTGTTGACAGGTTAGCTCTCTCTCAAAACAAGAAACAAGGACACATATTTTAATTTTATATGTAATATTCAGCCAATTTATTTTTTTATTTTGAAGATCGGAACCCAGAAAAGGAGAAATTACGTTTGGATCTTCTTAAAGCTGCACTAGAGGGAAATATTGATGCAGTTAATAGTCAATTCAATAATCCTCTGCTCCGTGATTCTTCATCAAGTTCATTAAGTGCGTCTTCTTCATCAAGCTCCGCTTCAACACCAAGCCCATTCAATGTTGCAATAACAGAGAAACACGAAACTATTTTCCATGTAGCAGCAGGAGCAAATCAAACTGACTTTGTAGAGAAGATGATTTGTGAGATAACACCAGATGACCTCAAGTTGCAAAACGTAAAAGGGAACACTGCCTTCTGTCTTGCTGTTATGGCTGGGAACAAATCAATTGCTGAGAAAATGTTGAATAAGAACCCAGAGCTGTTGACAATCCGAGGTGGCGCTAATTTGACTCCACTAAATCTAGCTGCTATGTTTGGAGAAAGGGAAATGGCGTTATATTTATACCGGCGGTATTATAGAGGAACACTGACATTAGCTGACAAAAAACAATTATTTTTTGATAGCATCGATACTTCTTTGTACGGTGAGTACTCACGTATTTCTTTTCTTGCTTGATTTTAATCTTAAAATTTTTATTTTAATCTATTATATAGAATGCATAACATGATAAGTTCATCATAGAATTAGTATCTGTTTGAC